ACAAGCTTTCACCACGATAAAAATATAGAACATTTTTAAGAAACCAAAAAGTTCCCTCATGCCCCTGTGCAGTTACTCCTCCCACCTAACTCTACTATTAACCACGAAGACAACAAGTGATCTGCTTTCTGTCACTGTCTATTTGATTTGATTTGTTTAGAGTCTCTTTAAGGGGTATTGTATGGTATGCACTCTTTCTCATCATACTTTTCCTCAGCATGATGTTTCTGAAATTCATTCTTGTTCTTGCATATATCAGTAGTTTCCTTTTTATTGTTAATATTGCATTGTAAAGACATACCAGACATTATTTATTCACCAGTTGGCAAACATTTAGATTGTGTCCAGTTTAGGGCTTTCATCAGTAAAGTTGCTATGAACTGTTGCAGTCAAGAGTCTTGGTGTGGGCACATGTCTGCATTTATTTTTGGTAAATATAAAGTGGGATTGCTAGGTCAAATGATAATGGCATTTTTATTTTTTAAATGCCAGAACAATTTCTAAAGTGGTTGTGCTATTTTAGTTACTATTTATATGGTAGGTTTTTTTTCATCCTTTTACTTTCAACCTGTGTCACTGAATCTAAAGTGTGACTCTGTGGACAGATATAGTTAGATTTTTTTTTAGCATATTCTGCCAATCTCTGCCTTTTAATTGGAGTTTTTATTCCATTTATATTTAATACACTGACTTATGTGAATCCTGAAAGAGCTAATCTTTCAAGATGGATCCCGAGTGGCTAAGTGGTCCTAAATTCAAAATGGAGCCAAGCAGCCATTTGCTGACTAGAGGTCACACATGTACTCTGTGTTCTGAGAGAACATACAAGCTTATGAGACTTCAGGTCATTCATAGCTGTCTGTTCCTGTTTACTACTGCCTCAATCAACAACTGCTAGAAAGTCTCATTTCACCACCTGGACCTAACTGATACACCGTGACCTGCATCAACCAGTCAGAACTAAACAAGCTTTTATTCCTCATTTGCCTAGCAGACCAGAGGGGGAACCTGGGTGGGAACTTTCTCTAAAGAAGATAATCCCTTTTGTTTTCTTGAACCACACCTTTGTTTGGTACAAAAGACTGCAAACTGCTCACTGGAATAAAGTGTCTTTTTTTTTTTTTTTTTTGAGACAGGGTCTCACTGTGTCACCAAGGCTAGAGTGTAGTGGCATGATCAGGGCTCACTTCAGACTTGATTTCCTGGGCTCAAGCGATCCTCCTACCTCAGCTGCCCGAGTAGTTGGGACTACAGGCATGTGCCACCACACCTGGCTAATTTTCTGTATTTTTTAGTAGAGATGGGGTTTTACAATGTCACCCAGGCTCGTCTCGAACTCCTGGACTCAAGCAATCCTCCAGCCTTGGCCTCTCAAAGTGCTGTGATTACAGGTGTGAACCACTGTGCCCAGTCTTTCTTTTTTAAGGAAAATCCTTTGAAGTGGATTGTTGACATTGATAAGGTGGAATTTACATTTGTCATTTTGCGATGTTTTCTTTATGTCCTGTGTCTTTTTTATTCCTCTATTTCTTAATTGCTGCTGCCTTTTGTTGTGTTAAATATATATTTTCAAGTGTGCCATTTTAATTTCCTTGTCCTTTATTCATATATTTTAAAAGTATTTTCTTAGCAGTTGCTCTGGGGATTATACTTAACAAGTTATAACAATCTAGTTTGGATTAATAACAACTTTATTTTAATAGTACACAAAAACTTGCTACTATATGGCTTCATTCCTCCATTATTCTTTCCCTCCTTCCTCTCCCTTCTGTTATTGTCATATTAATATCTTACAATAAGCCCATATAGACTTATAATTATTGCTTCATGCAATTGTCTTTTAAAACAAATAGAAAAATGAGTCACAAATAAAAAAATATACTTTTATATTTATTTATGTAGTTAAGTTTTACAGGCGTTCTTTATTCCTTCATGTGGATTTGAATTACTGTCTAGTGTCAATTTAATTCTGAAGGACTCCCTTTAGTATTTCTTGGAAGGAAAATGTCCTAGTGACAAATTCTATCTTTATATATACATACATTTGGGGAAAGTATTAATACCTCCTTCATTTTTGAAGGATAGTTTTGCTGCAGGTGAAATTCTTACTTGATGATCTTTTTCTTTCAGCACGTTGAGTATGTCATCCCACTGCCTTTTGGCTTTCATGGCATCAACTGTAAATCTTATGGAGGATTATGTGATGAGTGGCTTCTCTCTTGACACTTTCAAGAGTCTCTCTTTGCCCTTGACTTTTAATCAGTTAATTACAATGTGTCGAGGTGTAGATTTATGTTACTTGGCATTTGGTAAGCTTCTTTGATGTGTAGATAAATATTTCTCATTAAATTTAGGGAGTTTTGGACATTCTTTTATTTAAGTATTATGCCTGCCCTTTTCTTTTTCTCCTCTCCTTCTGAAACTCCCATTATGCACATGTTGGTATGCTTGATTGTGTCCCACAGGACTTTGAGGCCTGTTCATGTTTCTTCTTTCTCTTCTCAATCTGTTGCCCAGACTAGATCTTCTCAACTGACCTAAATTGAAGTTTGTTGATTTTTTTTTCTCCCTGCTGAAATCTGGGGTTGAGCCCCTCTAGTGAACTTTTCACTTTATTATAACTTGTTATTTTTATTTTAAAAAAAATTAAAAATTGTCTCTGTCATGGCATATTATACTTTTTAACTCCAGAATTATTTCGATTTTAAAAAATGATTTGTCTTTATCATCTATTTGATGAAACATCTCATACTTTCCTCTAGTTCTTTAGACATAGTTTCTTTTAGCTTTGTAACATATTGAAAATATCTGATTTAAAGCCTTTTTATCTAGTAAGTCCAGCATGTAGGCTTCCTCAGGGTGAGTTTCTATTGATTAATTTTTATCCTGTGTATGGGCCATACATTCTTGTTTCTTTGCATGTATCTTAACTATTTTGAAAACCGAACATTTTAAATAATATAATGTGCGACACTGGAAATCAGATTCTACCCGCTCCCCAAGCTTCACTGTCGTTTCTGTTTGTTGTAGTATTTGTTGGTTTAGTGACTTCTCTGAACTCATTCTTTTTTTTTTAGAGATAGGGTCTGAGTTGGTGACTCAAGGGATCCTCTGGCTTTAGTTTCCTGAGTAGCTGGGACTACACAGGTGTGCCACTGCACCTAGCTTATGAACGAATTCTTTAAAGTCTGTATTATTGTGTGTGACCACACAGGTTTCTGCTCAGTTAGCTTAGCGGTCAGTTAATGATTAGTGAGACAGGTTTCCTTAAACACCTTCAACCAAAAAGTCTCCCAGTCTTTCCTGAGGGCTTTAGTACTTACGTTGGGACGAGCCTTCAGCAATCAGTCAACCACTTTCTATTAGGTTGGTGCAAAATTAATTTCATTGAAATGACAAAACCACAATTTTTTGCACCTACCAACCAAATAATTCTGCCTTTGCCTTCACTTCTTGCTTCTGTAGTGCCTCGAGTCACCCAGAAGTTACAGCTCAGGGCCCTCTCAGGCCTATCTTGAGTGTTCACATAACCCTAGGCATGTGCACACCCTAAGCACCTTCTACAGTCTCAGGAATATGTTAGCATTTTTCAAAGCCCTATGAACATCTTATTCCCCAGTTAAATACTTCAGTATGGGTGGAGCAAAAGGTGCTCCAAAGTTTAAGGGTTTTTTTTTTGTTTGTTTTTTTGTTTGTTTTTTTACCTTTATGATGTATGTTATGGGGAGCCACTAGTGGAATCTTACGTAAAGAAGGAGCATGACTATATATAGCACAAACATTTTTACCAATGAGGTGAACAGATTAAAAGGAAGCAGACTGAAGGCGGAAAGATCAAAGAGCACTCTAAAAACATAGCTTGGGGAACATGGTGAAATCCTGTCTCTACTAAAAAAAAATAAATAAATAAAAACATAAATAAAAAATTAGCTGGGCATGGTGGCAAGCACCTGTAGCCCTAGCTACTTGGGAGGCTTAAGTGGGAGGGTTGCTTGAGCCCAGGGACGGGGAGGTTGCAGTGAGCCCAGATGGCGCCACTGCACTCCAGCCTGGGTGACAAAGCAAGACCCTAACTCAAAAATGCATTAATAAATACATACAAAATAAAATAAAATAAAATAAATAAATAAAATAAAATAAAATAAAGTGAGGAAGGTCTGAGTTAAGGCCAAAGTGGGGAGTATTTAGAAGGGGAAGTAGTGGATTGGAAAAGCTGTTATGGAAATTACACATTTCATGGTTTCTACAATGGTTAACTGGGAGGCCAGTGGGGAGAGATGAAAAAGAGGCAAGTGTTTATACTCTTAAGTTGCTGACTAGGAAAATTATTTGGAGGATGGGATTATTCACCCCCTCCCCCCCCAAAAAAAGGAATAGAGAGGCACAGCTTTGGGGGGGGGGAAGCATAAAGATGTGGATCCAAATATTACCTATGAGTAAAATAATCTTTGTGTTTTTAGAGGTATGAATATCTTAAAGCAAAAGTCTAATGCAATTGTGCTACTCAAATCAGTTTGGATCCACGCGCTGTAATCTTTCCCCACTCTCTGTCCAGTAGATTCGTCGCCATTCTCGATTTAGGAATGCTTTCAAGATGCTTGTTATTTGGAACATATTTGAGAAAGTGAGAGGAACGTGGTAAAGAAGCTGCCTTAAACACAGATTGTACCTAGACCTAGAGTGTAATATCAACTTGTCAAGTATATCCTGAGCAACTTTGCTTTTTGAAAACCTAGCACAAAGTAGATCATGAGTAAAACGTGATTGTTGATAATTACATGGAGAAATGTGAATAAATGACTCTTTAAACCCTGTAAACTAAACTCGGAGTAAAATAGGTGGTTTGAACATTTGGGAAACATTAGTTTTTCCTGAAATCCAATCCTTGCAAAGCAATTATGACAAGAGGTGGATAAAGCGGTCTTATGGAAAAGGGCGTCTTACCGGTCCCCTCTAATCACATCATCCCCCGTCTTTTTAAAACATTTTCTTCTCAGATAACCAGTTAAATCTAGTTCAAATGAACCTTTTCGTTTTTGAGGAGGACCATAATAGCAGTGAATACCAAAACGAAAGGGGATCTGGGCTTCGCAATACTAACAGTTCCATTTCCTAGCCAGTCGCCTCCCGGGCTGGATGTGCCCCCTTCCTAGATCTCAGCGGCGACCGGAGAGCGCAGAGGTAGGGAGAGAAAAAGGAGGCGTCGGCAGGGCGCGAGCGGCCAGGGGGCTAAGTTCTGCCTCACGGTACTGGGGAGGACTGGAGACGCCGGGCCGCCCGCGCCGTCTGTCCCAAGCTCTTCTCCTGGACACCCGCCTGTCTCCCCGTCGTCTCCAATTGGCCGTCGGGGAACGGAAGCCGAAGCAGACCAGTGAACCCGGAAGTGCTTCGCGGCAGAGGCCCGGGCAACTCTTTTGAATGGAATCGGGCTGATTCATCGCCTGTTCGCAGTCAGAACCGCGTCGGGTCTGCGCCGCTGCTGCTGTTGTCTCTGTCTTCACGTCACCACAGAGGCAAGACAAGGGTCCAGATCGCGGCATCCAGCTCCCGCCCGCCTTCAGGTAAGACCCAGAAGGCAGGCCTGGGAGGTCCGGGGAGGCAGCCGTGCTAGGCCGCCACCAGCCCCGTGCTTTCCTGAGTCACGTTGCCCAGCTGAGTTGCCACTAGAGGCCTGGGCCTCGAGGGAGGAGCCCGAGCTCCTTCATTCTCTTCGCCTGCTCTCAGGGATCTCTGGCAGGGTCAGGTGTGCATCTTGTCTCCTTTCTCCATTCTTTTCTGCTTGGCCGAATTCACATAATGGGAACCTCTTCTCTCTGAGAGAATCCTTGTTTATGGCCTGTTTGTCTGTGCTCTATCCGTAGTTGTTCCTGTCTTGAAAAACTTCAAAGCAGACCGGAGAAACAAGGGAGAGAGAGTAGAATTAACTTTCCCATTGAATACGTTTGTTTTATCTCCTGTCCTTTCTGTAAGCCTTGACCCTTTTTCTGTTAGTGTTAGGTTTTCAACTTCCTCCAAAAAATAAACAAAAGTCCTGCAGATACACTGGTTTTGGACCTTGAATATCTTAAAAACAAAGTGTGCTACTGTGCCTGTTAACTTACTTTCAATATTATACTAATTGAGTAATTGTTGGTGAATTGATTACATTTCTCGTGTTAAGTAGAAATCTGCTACCGTATGTTCCATCTTGCAACTTAATTTTCCTGGGGATGTAGCTCTGTGTCTGTCAAAAGAAAAAGAATGTAAACTTTTGAGTCTATAAACCTAGTGACTGAACGAAAAATTCTCGAGAAAATAAATGGTAACCAAAAGTTGATAAAAATTTTATGGAAAGGCAGGGGAGAGGGTTTAAAAATTAGCATAAAATAGAGTTCTAGTGTGAAAGTGATTTTATTCCACTGGTCACAAGTATGTTTTTAGTGCTACTGACTTAATGTGTTTGAGAAAAGCAGCAAGACATGCACTGATACTGTTGAAATAACAAAAACATGAACACAGTTTTAGTGCAGATGATTAATATAGTGGTGGCCTTCCTGTCACGTAAGGCTACCTACCAGCTGACTCATTTGAAGTTTAGAGGTTAAGATATATAGTGGTTCTGAATTAACTACAGTTAAGGTGTGTTTAATGAAGTGCTATTTAGTGAAAAAGCCTGAATGTTGTCTTGAATTTGTCCCTAAATCTTGCCAAGGGAGGAAAGGTTTCAAGTTATGATCTTTCATTGATGCTTCACCTGTTGACTTTGGGAGTTTGGTTTTTTTGTTTGTTTGTTTGTTTGTTTCAGCCTGAAGTGTTTGGTAAATAATATATTGCCATTTTAATTAAAAAGCTGGATGGATTTTAGGCCAGGCGTGGTGGCTCACACCTGTAATCCCAGCACTTTGGTAGGCTGAGGCGGGTGGATCATGAGGTGATCCAGCCTGGCCAAGACTAGCCTGACTAACATAGTGAAACCATGTCTCTACTAAAAGTACAAAAAAATCAGCTGGGCATGGTGGCACGTGCCCGTAGTCCCAACTACTTCGGGAGGCTGGAGGTAGAACGTGGGAGGTGGAGGTTGCAGTGGGCTGAGATCGCGCCACCGCACTCCAGCTTGGGCAACAGAGTGACACTTTGTCTCAAAAAAAAAAAAAGAAAAAAAGCTGGATTTTAATCTCTTTGACATGGGTCTATCTTATTTTTATACTGGCCATGTGCTTGTTAGTATATAGTTTGTGAACCCTATGTATGAAAATCAATAAAAGTTATTATTGCTGTTTTTATTGTTATTAGAAGTGGAAGAGATTATTTAATCTAGTCCTCTTATTTCAGTAACAAGAAGCAATTATGCTTTTTTAATTTTCAATTTTGTAGTAATGTTCATTTAATAATTCAGTGTCCACCTGTGAAAGCCTTGCCTGAATATCCATGTTATTTCTTGCTCAGAAACTTGTCGTATTCCCTGTTTGTTGCAGTCATTTTGACATTTCATATTCTGCTTTGTGTGTGGTACTTTGGTGACCTTATTTGTGAAATGGGAGAACTGGATTAAATAATCTCTGCTAGTTCTAAAATGATAATAGCAACAATTATAACAATAAGAATAGCAACGACAACATTTATTGAGTACCTTGAATGTTTCAGACACTATAAGTTGCTTTGAACATATTTTTACAACAGACTTGCAAAGTAGGTATTATCCTCACTTTATAAATGAGGTTCTAGAGTATAGAAGAAGATAAAAATTAGTGTCATATAGTGAATAGGTGTGAAGCCAGGATTCAAATCAAAGTCAACTGGTTCAAGAGCCTTTTTCACTCTATACTGCTGTCCTTTCCCTTTACATATTTTTTATGGGTTTATGTCAAACTTCTTCTACCCACCTCCCCCAGTAGATTATAAATTCTGTCAGGGCATGCCACTAAATTTCTTGAGTCAGCCCTCCATATCTCTGGGTTCTGCATCTGTAGATTCAACCAACCACAAATTGAAAATACTTGAAAAAAGTTGCATCTGGGCCAGGCACGGTGGCTTACGCCTGTAAACCCAGCACTTTGGGAGGCTGAGGCAGGTGGATTATCTGAGGTCAGGAGTTCCAGCCTGGCCAACATAGCGAAACCCCTTCTCTACTAAAAATACAAAAATACAAAAATTAGCCAGGCATGGTGGCATGTGCCCGTAATCCTAGCTACTGGAGAGGCTGAGGAAGGAGGATCGTTTGAACCTTGGAGGTGGAGGTTGCAGTGAGCCGAAATTGCAACACTACATTCCAGCCTGGTCAACAGAGTGAGACGCGGTCTCAAAAAAGGGGGAAAAAAAAATTGCGTCTGTATTGAACCTGTGTAGACATTTTTTTTTCATTATTCCCTAAGCAATATAGTATAACTATTTCTATTGTATTTACATTGTATTAGTTATTGTAAGTAATCTAAAAATGATTTTAAAGTATATGAGAGGATGTGCATAGGTTATATGCAAAGAGGGTACTATGCCATTTTATATCAGAGACTTGTGTATCCATGATTTTGGTGTCCTGGAACCAGTTCCCCACAGATACAGATGGATGACTGTACTCAAATGCTGAAATTGGGAGACTCCATAATAGGTTATTTATGATGAATCCGTTCTCACTCTTCCTCTTTTTTTTTTTTTGAGACGAAACTTTGCTCTGTTGCCCAGGCTGGAGTGCAGTGGCGCAATCTTGGCTCACTGCAGCCTCCGCCTTCCAGGTTCAAGCCATTCTGCCTGCCTCAGCCAGCCTAGCTGGGGTTACAGGTGTCTGCCATCACGCCCGGCTAATTTTTGTATTTTTAGTAGAGACTGGGTTTTGCCATGTTGGCCAGGCTGGTCTCAAACTCCTGACCTTAGGTGATCCACCCGCCTCGGCCTCCCAAAGTGCTGGGATTACAGGTGTGAGCCGCCGTGCCCAGCCACCATTTTCACTCTTGTAAGTTGCAGAAATCTTGTTTTCAAAATCCTGTTTATATAATTAGATTTAATGTTGACTCACTCAAGATCTTCCACTGGAAAAAAGTCCTTAAGAAAGTGAGAGTATAAAGTTTTAACTACTTTGCACAAATCAGAAAACAGAGGAATTAGAAATACAGTAAGATAACAAATATGGAATAGCTTAAAAAGGATCGAGCATCAATCTGAAAAGTAATTTTTTTTTTTTTTTTTTGAGACGGAGTATTGTTTTGTCACCCAGGCTGGAGTGCAGTGGTGCGATCTCGGCTCACTGTAACTTTCACCTTCTGGGTTCAAGTGATTCTCCTGCCTCAGCCTCCTGAGTTGCTGGGATTATAGGCATCTGGCACCGTACGCGGCTAATTTTTGTGTTTTCAGTAGAGATGGGGTTTTGCCACGTTGGCCAGGCTGGTCTTGAACCCCTGACCTCAAGTGATCCGCCCCCCTTGGCCTCCCAAAGTGCTGGGATTATAGGCATGAGCCACTGCACCTGGCCAAAAATTGATTTATTTTAAATCCAGCATGGACATGATCTAGCAATATCAGGTTCTAATCAGAGATTAAGAGAGAAAGAAAAAGTGGAAAGTAATCAACTTTGGAAAGTACTGATATCTTTTTTGTACTATTTTTACCAATTACGATTCTAAATATTATTGTATGTATGACATTATGTTAGGTATAAACACTTTATTCATATTGTCTGATAATATTTACCATAAAGTTAATTATGTCATGAATGAGCTTTTGAGTCTTCTGCTTTTTGATAGCTGTAAAAACTTGGTTTAGATCCATCAACCTTTTTATTGCTTTTATTTCTAAGAATTGAAAGTGTTCTCTTTTATGTTAAGTATAACACATTCACTTTGTGAATCTTTCTGCTAAATTCTGCGAAATGCAAGTCCCTATCTCCAATGTGATTTGGTCATGTGAAATACGCCCAGCATTTTGAAACCCAATAAGTGGCAAACTATGTGAGGAACAAGGATCTGTGTTGGTAGCCATGCTCAGGATGGGGTTGCTGATGAAGTAGCTAGTGTTTATTATATGCTTACTATATGCCAAGCATTGTATTAAATGGTTTTTTTTGGGTCCATTGTTTTTGTTAATCTTTTAAATGGCTCTATGAGATATATATCTCTATTTTGCAGATGAGGAAACTGAGGAGGAGAGAGGTGATTGACTCAAGGACATAGAGCTTGTAAGTGTTAGAGCCAGTATTTGAATCTGGCACTCTGACTGTAGAGTCATAGTACTGGACTCTCATGTACCAGACAAAATAGTCATTAGTCATCGCCATTTACCATCTAGGCCCAGTAGAACATAAAAGGATAGTGAAAAACAACTATATTAGAAATGTTAGTAAAGCTTAAACATAGCAAATACAAATTTTTATATTAATTAATTAATTAATTTTTGAGATGGAGTCTTGCTGTGTCACCCAGGCTGGAGTGTAGTGGTACCACTTTGGTACACTGCAACCTCCACCTCCTGGGTTCAAGCGGTCCTCCTACCTCAGCCTCCCCAGTAGCTGGGATTACAGGCACATGCCACCATTTCTGGCTAATTTTTGTATTTTTAGTAGAGACAGGGTTTTGCCTTGTTGGCCAGGCTGGTCTTGAGCTTCTGACCTCAAGTGATCTGCCTGCGTTGGTTTCCCAAATTGCTGGGACTGCAGGCGTGAGCCACCACACCCAGCCTAAATACAAGTGTGTATTCTGTATTTTCTTGGTTTTGAAGGTACATATATCTTCATATGTCATCCTTTGAATGGGCATCATGGTTTGAATGAACTGCTCATCAGCCACCATGCATGAACCTAGAACATACTTGTCTTGTATAGATCAGTTCTATATTTCAAATACATTTCTAGTAGGCTCTAGCTTATTACTTCTGGTTCTTGTATTTGTTATCCTGTGTGTGTATCTATGTGAAAATATACATCACATAAAATTTACTATTCTAACTTTCTGGTGTATAGTTTAGTGGCATTAAGTATATTCACAGTGTTAGTAACTGTCACCACCATCCATATCTAGAATTTTTTTCGTCCTCCCAATTACTTTACTTTTGAAAACATTGAGAGCTCATAATTTTGTTGAAGATAGGATGCCATCTTTCCTTCATAATTGCAAAACATTTATATTTTTAGATTTATAGGCACCATTTAGAATTAGTCCAATGATTTTTAAAATTTCTACATTATCCATTTCCTTTTATTCACATTTGTGTACACTTTAGCATTTTTCCATGTGTGAACTGTATTAACATCATAAGACATCAAAAAATATGTCACACATCTCTTTAGAAAACAGGTTCTCATTGCAAAATGCTGTGTGATGAAGTCCTTTCTTGTTGAATAAGTAACTGAGTAAGAATGTCTTTTGGTTTTAGAAATATATTGTTCACTCACTGACCCTTTAAAAAATAATCTGTTGAGGAGAAATTCACATAATGTAAAACTAACCATTTTAAATTGAACAGTTTAGTATCATTTCGTCCATTCACAGTGTGCCATTACCACCTCATTTTAGTTCCAGAACATTTCTGTCATTCCAAAGTAAAAAATCTCTTAGCCATTTAGCAGTTTCTCCATTTTCCTCCCTTCCCCACCCACTGATAACCACCAGTCTGCATTCTGTCTCTGTGGATTTATTGGATACTTCATATACATGGAATCACATAACATGTGACCTTTTGTGCCTGGTTTCTTTTACGTAGTGTGATATTTTGAGGTTCAGCTAACTTGTAACATGTACCAGTAGTACTTCATTCCTTTTTATAGCTAAACAGTATTTCATATTACAATATTCCTTTATGTGTTTATAGTAGAATTTGTTTATCCATTCATTCTTTGGTAGACATTTGGACTGTTTCCACCTTTCGGCTATTGTGAATAGTGATGGTGTAAACATGCATGTACATGAACTTATTTTGAGTATTTGTTTTCGGTTTTATGGGGTATATACCGATGATTGGAGTTGCTGGATCAAGTGGTAATTCTATGTTTAACTTTTTGGGGAACTGCCAAACTATTCCCAGCACTCATTGGTTCTTAAGTTTGAGAAAATTAATCTAGGGTATTATCATCTCAAGATAGTCTGAGAGTTTGTTTATATCAATGGTTCTCAATTGTGAGTGATTTTTGAGACAATCAAAAATAACTTCAAACATTTGTCCCTCGGGGACATTTGGTAAAGCTTGGAGACATTTTTGATTGTCACAACTGGATAGGTGCTGCTGTTGTCTAGTGGAGCTGGGGATGATGTTAAGCATCCTATAGTGCACAAGACAGCCCCACGAACAACAACAGATTATCTGGTTCTGAATCTCAGTAGTACTGAAGTTAGTAAATCCTGGCTTGTACCATCAATTTTATTGTCATCATTAGAGACTAGAATGCTATAATCTGTCTCCTTCACATTCATCTTTGATTTTGTAGTAATGTGAAACATTTTCTTTGTTGCTTTTTTCCTTTTGCCATTATTAAAATGAAAAATTCTGATTTCTTAACCGTGCTAAATGAAGACTGAAAAAAAGACTACAAAGATGAAGTCTCTAGTGTTCTATATCTTTTCGAAAGATGGATCAGTGCTTTGGACAACACAATAAGAATGAAAGGATGATGTAATAACTATAATTTTTTTTCACTATTGCATTATTTTAGACAGTTCTTATCATTTTTCCATATTCTTGTCATTTTAGTGTTTTTGGCATAGTTTTGGGAATAATTGATTAAGAAATGATGGACTACTAATGCCTCCTAGTATGATAAAATAGCAAATTTTCAGGGTATAAGAAAAGTAACCACTAATATTCCATAATATTTGATAGATTTGTAATAATGTACAATTAACCTATATAGTAATTACATGAGAGAATGAACTGTCCTATTTAAAAAATAAGTAAATTTTTATTTTATTCTTTTTTTTTTTTTTGAGACCAAATTTCACTCTTGTTGCCCAGGCTGGAGTGCAATGGCGCATTCTTGGCTCATTGCAATCTGCCTCTGGGATTCAAGTGATTCTCCTGCCTCAGCCCCCTGAGTAGCTGGGATTACAGGTGCCTGCCACCATGCCTGGCTAATTTTTTTTGTATTTTTAGTAGAGAAGGTGTTTTACCATATTGGCCAGGCTGGTCTCGAACTCCTGACCTCAGGTGATCTGCCCGCCTTGGCCTCCCAAAGTGTTGGGATTACAGGCGTGAGCCACTGTGCCCGGCCTCTTTTGTTCTTTGAAAAATGTCTGGAAAGACTAAAAGTTTTGAAATGTCTGTCTTCAAAGTTAGTGTTCACGAGAGAAACATACACATAAAATTTGGATACAGGGTTACTCACTGTGCTCTGTAGCTCCCTGTAAAGTAGCTTATTCTGTATTCAGAAAATGATTATTAAGAAACAGTTTTGATTTCTACTTCATTTTTAGGAATGTTGATTCTTTTAAAGATTTTGGTATAAAGTTTTTCTCCTTAAATTATCAAAATAATTATATTTTATTTTGTTTACTTTTTTCAGGAGAGAAAGAAAAAATAAAATATACTTGGGGAAATTGTGCCTGCCAGAATTAGCAAGAGCTTTCTTTAAGAAGAAATTTGTCAAACTCAACAAATTGAAGGTTAACACCTTAAGAGTTATAGTTATTGACCAGGTAAGGTTTAAAAATGTATTTTACTTTTAATTATTCTTTTAGGTGTCGATAGAGAGATAGCATGAAAATGTATTATTTTTAACAGATGTCAAATTATGAATATGTTTGATAGATAACCAGATTTTCAAAAGTGGTGTGATTTAGAATATGTATCAATATACTTCATTCCCAAATGTTAGTATTTTTATTAAACCAGGTTATCTCAGCTTAAATGTTTTAATTTGTTAAATATGTTTCCTCTTTGCTGAGACATCTAATTTTGCTACAGAAACAAATTTGACCTGCCAGATTTTTTTTCTTTCTGCTTCTTGCATCACTCATGTATATTCACAGCATCTGGAGTCTGTGTAAAGTCATCAGAAACAACACAGAGGAATAGATAAACTGAACACAGCTGGGAATCAGTTTTGGCCTAGAATAAATATATATATTCTAATGTACACTGTATGTTGTTTGTTTTTCTGTTTGTTCTTTAAGTTTGTAAGGTTGAAATGGTCCAAAAGAAATTTTTTTCTTCTTTGGTAATTTATTCTAGAGAATTGCTTTAATATTATAAAATATACAGGATCCCCCGCCCCCGCCCCCCACCCAGTTTACAGCCTTTAAAAAGTGCTGCGTGTTGAATGCCATATTTGATTTGAGGAATTTCAGTGAGTATTTGATGGAGATTTTATTTGTAAGTGTTGGTATTAGGAGGATGCGTTAAGATTGTGAAGTGGAAATTTTGTCTGTATTACCATGTTTTCTTATATGCCTTTTCATTTTAAAAAGAAATTGTTAAAATTGTGAGTTTCATAAACATGTTACATGAAACAGTCCAGGTACAAAAAATATATGATTCTGTTTATATAAAATTCAAAAACAGCTGAACTAATCTATGCTGTTGAAAGTTGAATTTTTACCTTTTCAGGGTGGAATAGACTGGAAGAGGGGCTTGGGTGGTGTTTCTGAGGTGCTGATAATGTTCTGTTTCTTGAACTGGGTGATGGTTACATGGATGTGTTCATTTTGAAGAGTCCATGGCTATATCGTTTGTGTTCTTTTCTGTATGTGCACTTGAGTAAAGTTCTTTTCTGTAGGTGGACTTGAATAAAGTTTGCGATATTAACATTGTTAAATTGTTACCAGGATTCAACAAATGTGATTGGTGGGGGGGTAATATATAAAGTACATTATTGAGTTTTAGTTTATATAGCAATTTGAACTCGTAAAACAACATGGATGAAGGATGAAATGAATCTTAGCATTTAATTTAGAATATAATTTGTAATAATACCATTTTCTAAAGCATACACTTAGGAAAAAGGAATTTTATTTAAGGACATAGCAATTTTCAAGTAGAAAAAATTGCTTTGTTGTCATTTTTAAATTACTTAGTTGTACTGCTATTCATTTTTAAAATTTGGTTACTTCTTTTTGTTATTTAAGACCATATAAATACACCTTGCTATTTCTTAACTTCTTCTCTGAGGTTTTCAAGCTTGAAGAATATCTTCTGTAGTTACTCCAAACATTAAAACTAAATCAGATTGGTATAGTAAATCCACCTTGTATTGGTTAACTCTGAAGTTATAATTGAGAAGCACAGTTGAATTTCCTTAGTGAAAAAGTCGTATATCTCTACAACATCTGAAATAACACAAAATATCTGTGTAGGTTCTAGAACACTGTCTTAATACGTTTAATGTTTACGCTATAGTATTTCTTTTAGTATAATGAGTTCAGTTTTTAAAAGCCTTTGATGCTAATTCAGAGATCCATAATCTGCTCACAATGTCTTTCACATGTAGTTTTGATGATAACTGACAAGCTGTAAGTTAATTAGCACAGAACTTACTAATGAGGATGTTAAAATTTAATTTAAAAGTGAGGATTTTTATTTGTACACTCTGGACAAATTGAAGGAAATTCAATCATACATATGATAAGCATTTCAGGCACTTTTTCTGCATTCAGGTAGTTTATTAGATAACAATAAGAAAATATAATTAACTTAATGATAGCAAAGTTTTGAAAGTATGCTAAGATTGCTTGTCTTTAAAACTGGGGATAACCCAAAACCAAAGCAGTAAAATAAGGTCTGTTAATTAGCATGGAAGACAGCTTCTTGAATTAATATGTGGTGTTAATTAACAGGAAGTCTGATGTTGTGTTGTAATTACCACCAATATTTTTGACATACTGAGTGACTGAAAGTGAATTATATAGATAGCAATTGAATAAACACTTTTGTGCTTAGGAACGTTTTTTCTTTGTTTCTGTTTTCTAGAAATATGGACAGACTTCTTAGACTTGGAGGAGGTATGCCTGGACTAGGCCAGGTTAGTATATAGTCTCTTGAGCATTTCCTTGTGTGTAAACTGCAAGCCTTTTTGTAGTTATCCAAAGAGAAAGAAATTATCCCCAAGAAAATCACCTAACGGATAACTTTATGGTAAGAATCTTACCTTATTGATGTTTGTTATCTTGTAACACTAGATAACATGTGGTAAACATTTACTGTCTTAGTTTACTTTTCTCCTGGGAATAAGAATTTTCTGTTATTTGCTTTGTTTAAAATTTTGAGATATGTGAGATTATCAAAGTTGTCTTTTAGGGGAAAAAAAAACCCCTCAACATTGCTTAACTTCCTGAATTTACAATGTAAACTTTAGATGTAACACAAGAAAAAGTAAGCACGTCATCCTGTTTGCGAGATCCAGAAAACTGACCCATAGAATGTTTGTATGTACAGTCTTAACACTGGTAAATTTCTGCTAGTAATTATAATATATAGATGGATTAATAAGTAATCTCTCTCCTTTCCTTTAAATTTGGTATAAATGGTTTCTTTTATAATCTTTTTTAAAAATAAATAAGCTTTCAGTTGTTTTAATATTGTTTGTCTTGTTCCATTTGCTGTTGAGCAAATGACCTCTAGATTTCTGCCTCAGGATAGTCTATATGCTTTCAGGTCAAGAATTTCTGCCTCTTGTGAGTTCTACACTTTTGCTCTGTGCAATCATACATTGAGTTAATACTAATTAACAAAAGAAATGACTATGTGTTTTTCTGTTCCTAAGACTTCTATGTATGCAATGTATTGTTTTATGACCAAATATTGGAAATATTTTTATAGTCCCTTTTAAAATCTCTTTAGTTTCCAGCTTTCCCACATTTCTTTATTGCTATCAGTGACTTCATCTTTCTTCAAAGTAATCTATGTTTACTATAAGAAGCAGTTTTTGTTTGAGACTTCATGAAATTCTCAGTGTTTTAGAAGAACTTTCATAAGAACTATTTGATTAGGTCTATCATGGTTTATGACTTTTAGAAAGTTTGAATCTTTTTGTGGTTCTGTATTGCGTTCTTGGATGGATTTCAGTTTTTTCATTTACTTTTAGTTTTGATGATTTCTCATGTTTCTTTGCTGTTAGCCTATTTCTTCATGATTCTTCATTTTTGTAACACCTGTATAACTCATTCTCTCAAGAGGCCTAAGCCTCTTTGAACTTGATCCTGAACCATTCCCATTTTTTCATAAACATTCTAGAGAGCTTCTGGAATTTCTCTAATTTATTCTGAAATTAGTAGTAATAATGTTCAGGCATGTGAAAATGTGAGAAGTGAGGAGAGGTTGTGTGTAGATACTGCAAATTTACCTGCAAATTATAGGTAAAGATGTTGCCTTAGAATTCTTAAGGGAAGTTGTATCAAATTTAAATATAAAAATAACTTTCCTTAAGCATAGATATAATAAATTACCCATTTTGGAAATCCGTGCTGGAAAACCCCTGGACATGAAATAATGGTTTTACTGACCACAAATTGAGCTACATTATATGTCAATGGAGACTTCAAACCTTTGTATCAAGTGAAAAACTTGATGTTTTCTCAGTAACCGTATTGGTTTCTGATTAATCAGCCATTGTGTCCTTAGTTTGTACTCTTTTTTGAAGTTAAAAATCTGCTTAAGAATCATTTCATCTCAATTAGATGACAAACTCAAAGAAATAATTTGTGGAACTCTTATTTTTATGGTATCTCCCTTATCCTATACTAGGTGTTTAATTTTCTTTTTCTCTAAAATTTTATTTTATCTTGTTACAGGAATAATTTGACAAATACCTATCATGTTACTTTTGCAACATGAAATGTTAAGTGTATTTTTTGCCTAATAAGAATATGTTGTTTATTATTTACTTATTATAATTTTTTTTGAGATGGAGTCTTGCTCTGTCACCCAGGCTGAAATGCAGTGGCATGATCTCGGTTCACTGTACCCTCTACCTCCTGGGTTCAAGTGATTCTTCTGCCTCAGCCTCCTGAGTAGCTGGGATTACAGGCATTCACCACCACGCCTGGCTAATTTTTGAATTTTTAGTAGAGACCAGGCTTCACCATGTTAGACAGGCTGGTCTTGAACTCCTTGACCTCAGGTGATCCACCTACCTTGGCCTCCCAAAGTACTGGGATTACAGGTGTGAGCCGCCACTCCCAGACTATTATTTATTTTTAATAAGAAGTCAAAGATCTTTGGATTGATAATAGCTATCTTTTCATTAGATAAGGCAAGGCACCAATAGTAGTAGAGAAAAGGAGACACAAATTGACCCTTCTCTCTAGAAATCAGTGGGAAATGTTATCTTACCATTTAATGGAAAAGGCAGAATTCCCTCCCAAATAAGGAGCAGGTCACTTGCTGGTAAGTTTGTAGATGGCTCTCTTAAAATGTGGCAGTAGGCAGGAGCAGAACAGGTAAGGGCCTCATATGATTGAGAGTCCCTTAAGGTTATTTTATTTCCTTGATTGAAGAACAAGAACCATGGACATTTTATGAGTGAATAGGCCACCTTAAATCATGATCTATACGAATAACCTAACTTTGATGAAAGAAATGTCCAAGACTTACTTTTTTTATATCAGTCTCCAAACAGTTGCTACTTTACTGGCTTGAAGACATTCTGTTGCACTCCTGGTTGACGCAAACCTGGTGGTTAGTGTCCGACTCTGCAAGTTAAAGGCTCACTTCTCCACAGAACTACCCTTACTTCAGATGCCAGCTTCCTGTGTCCCCAAGTCATCCACACTTCTGACCGACACTTTGACCTGACTATAAATTTGGAGGTCCTCACAACCTCCTCAGGTTTGATAATTCACTAGAACAACTGACAGAACTCAAGAAAGTGCTGTGCTTATTATTACAGTTTCGTTATCCAGGAATACAGATTAGGAGGACCAGTGAAATGAAGACACACAAGATGGGGTCTGGGAGGAGATGCAGAGCTCCTGTGCTCTCTCTTCATGGAATTAGGGCTTGTCACCCTCCCTGCACATCAATGAGTTTACTAGCCAGGGAGCTCCACCTGGTGTAGCTTTGGTGTCCAGAGTTTTTATTGGGACTCGGCATACATGAGCTTGATTGATTAAATCATTGGGTGATCAAACTCAAAATTCAAAATCTCCATCCTTCCTTCCCTCCTTGGAAATGGGCCTGGCTCAAAGTCTTAGCGCTCTATTTACCACCGTCTTTATGGTGATCAGCCCTCATTCTCAAGCTATGTAGGGGTGGTCACTGAGTCACTGTGTTAGCATAACAAAAGAAACTCCAAGGGTTTTTGAGGCTTTGTGCCAGAAACTCAGGATAAAGACCAGATTATTTTGCAACAAAGACTTGTTTTCAGCCTTGACTTCATTATTTGTAGAAACAATTCAATATTTCATTTGAATTTTTCTTGTACTATTATTTGATACTGATTTTGTGCTGTTTCCAAGAGACATGATCCCACCTTGAGTCCCAATGCCTTTAATATAACCCAATAGTAGTAAAAAGGTCTTTGGGCTTTGCTCTATGTGCTAATTGGTTATGTTATCATTATTATTATTTTGAGTCAGAGACTTGCTTTGTTGCCCAGTCTGGAGTGCAGTGGCATGATCTCAGCTCACTGTAGTCTCACCCCCCTGGATACAAGTGATTCTCCTGCCTCAGCCTCGCAAGTAGCTGGGATTATAGGCATGAGCCACCACGCACAGCTAATTTTTTTTATTTTTAGTAGAGATGGGGTTTCACCATGTTGGCTGGACTGGTCTTGAACTCCTGACCTCAAGTGATCTGCCCACTGCAGCCTCCCAAAGTGCTTGGATTACAGATGTGAGCCGTTGCTCCCGGCCTGGTCATGTTTTTTAATGGAGGAATTCATAGTAGTAATATAGGAATATCAGTATTATAATCACAGTTGATACTGATATTTCATTGTTTTTGAGGCCACTTGGCCTTAGTTGTTTTATTTGGGAGTTGTAGTAGGGCTAGTAGGTAAAAAAGGAACTTGTAAATAATCAAAGTCCCCATTCATTCTAGTCTCTTAATTTTCTCTAAATAGGAGGTGACTTTTCTCTTTTCCAGGGCTATTCCTTGTTCTCAGATCTCATTCTCTTGACACATTGCAGATCTCCATTGACTCCTTTCTCTGCCTACAAAGATGTTTAAGTCTCCTGTATCCAAAAAAGAAAACTCTACTGCATACTGCCATAAAACCTTTTCTTCCATTTATTTCTAGAATTCCTGAAATAATAGCTTAAACTCCATAATCTACTTAATTACCTCTATTCACTCTCATGAGAATGCGTTCTGGCCAACTCTTGTATTACTGTATTGGAATTTTTTAAACTGCCAAGTCTATTGGCCTATTTTTAGTTCTCTTTTAACTAAACTTCAGTATTCCACACTTACTGTCTTAAACCTTTCTCTTCCATTTGTTTTTATCATGCTATCTTTTCCTGTTTCTCATTATGGTATCCATTCCTACAAAACAACTAAGTTTTATATTTTTTAGTATCACATTTTAAAATGTTAGTATTGGCCAGGCCTGGTGGCTCACGCCTGTAATCTCAGCACTTTGGGAGACCAAGGGGGCAGATCACATAAGGCTAGGAGTTCAGGACCAGCCCGGCCAACATGGGGAAACCCCATCTCTACTAAAAGTACAAAAATCACCTGAGTGTGGTGGTGCACATCTGTAATCCCAGCTACTCAGGAGGCTGAAGCAGGAAAATCACTTGAACCCAGGAGGTGGTGGTTGCAGTGAGCCAAGATTGTACCACTGCACTCAAGCCTGGGTGACAGAGTGAGACTATGTCTCAAAAAAAAAAAAGAAAAAAAGTTAATATTTGAATAGTGATAGGCTAAAATAATTAAATTTGTCCTCAGTCCTCTACTTCAGTTTAACTTACCAGTAGTTTGAAGCAGAAATAAAGATGTTTTATTAGTACTATTAAAATTTGTAAAGTAACAGCTTTACGTTTTAAATGTATTTTTAGATTTTCTTTGTTAAAGTACTTACAA